TCAAAAGTTTGAGATCCATTCATACATACGATGATTTTCATCAAGATTGTCTTCAGCTAAATGACGCATATATTTTCTTCTATTAAGAATCAACTTCTAATCGTCAAATATTCAATAAAAACAATTAATTACCACCATATATAATTTCTGAATTTAAATATTCTCCAATGCATATATGTCTGTTACATAGTGTTTTCGATTCAATCGAAACAGATATTCGTACATGGAAATTGTATGTCTTAAAAAAAAAATTTCTAAAATAAAATTTTGGTTTTTATTTGTTCTTTCTAGTGAATAAACTAAACCAATAACTGATTTTATTAATTATTCAGATCATCAAATATTTTGTGTTAATGTTGTACATATTATATGTCAAATGTCTGAGGTTTTATGTAATACATGTAGTGGTCTTTTACCATTACTTGCTAATGTAACATCAGCATCAGTAAAATTAATTTTTATAATTTCTATAAATTTCATTCTTTGTTTTTATCTTTGTGTATGTTTTTTTACAGCATGAAATTGAAATATTAGAAAATACAGAAGATTTATCACCATTCAATGCAATTAAAATATTAAAATGTGTTATGAATTTAGCAGATTTATTTATTCTTACAAATAGAAATAGTTCAAATTTGTTCTGAACTTGAACAAGAAAAAAAAATATGCCAAATAGAGGAATTTTAAGACAATGTCTTCGTTTAAGTAATAAAATTTTTTTAGAAAATTTTTCTTTTAAATATGTTTTGTTTTTTCGTAGCAATGACAACAGCTGTTCGTCATTGTATGGAATGTCGTTTTCAATGATTTGATCGATCATTAATATCAAAAACTTCTGAATCAACACAATAAACAAAACCATCAATGAAAGATCTAATTGAATCAATAATTTAATTAACTTATTTATTAAATTCATCATTACAAGAAAATGATCTTGATGAAAATATTGAAAATTTACATGCAATATTTACTAAAAATCCTCAATCAGTTTTACAAGGTATTAATATTCAACGTTTACGTGCCTTTATTTATCGTGATGTGGTAAGACAAAATCGAAATGAAGCTGGCAAAAAACGTTGTCATTATCGTGGTAAATTTAAGCAATATATTTCATTCATTCATTCTTTCTTTCTTTTGCTTTATGTATTTTGTGTTGCATTAATTATTCTATTATTTGTTTTGTTCTATTTTATTTAATAAAATTAAATATATATTTTATTTAGAATGATACAAAACAATTACAATTTTTAGCATTATCTATTGTTTATTTTGCATCGTTATTAAGGGTATTAAGATATCGAGATATTATTGAAACAAATCAAGTTTATTTATCATGAACAGCATCATTTATAAGTACGACAACTAGTATTTGAAATAGTAAGGATTACTTTGTTTTTGTTTAACCCTTTTTTTTCTATTTTATGATTTTAGGTTCAATAATGGATGGTACTATTGATACAGCTAGTGTAAATGGTTTAAGTTCAATTGTAGAACTTATTACTAATCATTAAGTATGATTATAAGTCAAATGTTTTTTTTTTCTGTTATAAAAACATTTGTCTTCTTGATAGAAAAATTCAACTGAAACAACAACATGTGATGATCGAACAGATATAGGAAATGAAACAGATAAAGCAGATTTACAATCAACTAATCGAAAATCTGTAGATTTAAATAGTGTAGGAACTGTAACTTCTCAATACGGTATGTGAAAAAAAAATCCTATATGACATGTCTGAATAAATAAGATCATATCTATTTTACATATTTTTATGCCAACGATCAGAATCAAATTTCATATTTTGTCTTCATTGACATTTTTTAGTTTTTTTTTTTTTTTTTTGCAGAAAAATCAACGAAATTGATTATGAATCAAATTTATTTTTTATTTCAACAAGTATAGCTAGTATACCAATAATTGATCCAACAACAATTGATCAATGTCGAATGTCAAAATCTAAACTTCCAGATTATCCAAAAACAAATTTCGATAGAAATGAACCATCAGTAATGAATATAATCGAAAAATTAGAACGAACATTACCAAACATAGCACGATTTTTACGTTATATTTTTACTAAATTTTCACATATTCTTACAAAAAAATTAATTGGTTCACATGGACAAGAATTATTACCTAGTGATTTACATGCTTTGAAAGAAACAGCATCTGTTGTTGAACTTATTATAGTTTTATGTTCATAAGAATGGCAAAACTCACTTCAAGTAAAATTTTCAATTTCACTTCTTTCTATGGAATTCACATATATTTTCTAAAAAAATAATGATTTTAAGGTTAAAATGAATAGTTTTGTGGCTTCCATCCACTAGTTCCTAGTAATGGAAGGAGCTCACAGTCATCAAATACATACACACGGAAGACAACAAAGTTTAGACTTCTTTCGACAGTTTATTATGGAAGTACTACTTCAAGTATTAAATTGCTTTTCGACTGAGATAATGTTCGTTTGATGAGTAATAACCTAAGCCTTTGGACTTTTGAGATATTATTATTTTATTCAACAAAAAACGAGAGGAGAAAACTTTCGAATTCTACTGCAAGCATACTGAGAAACTTTTTTCTATAAGTTTGTTCCTTGTTTTTTTTTCTTCTTAGAAACATGTTGGTTTAACTTTTATTGAACTTGTTCATGAAGGATGTTTACTTGCTCATATAAGTAAAGATCTTGTTGTAAAAGTTGCTAATAAAGCAGATTTTATTCTTAATCGTATGCGTGCCGAAGATATTCGAAAAGCTAGTGAATTTGAATAATTATGTGCACAAACAAGTTCCGAACATGAAGAAGAAGAAGTATTTTGTGATCATTTTATAAAATCATCTCGTTAACGATATTTAACAAATGCATCACATTTTAAAAGAAAAATTTTTATCATTAATGATTCATAATAAGACAACATATTTGAATAATTCAAATCCATTTTGGAAATTAGATCTATGGAAAGATGATTTAAGCCGATAAAGACGTTTAACAGCCATTGCACATAAGCCACGACCTTTTGCTACAGAGGCTGCTCAATCGATTTTCTTAAATTTTGATTTCACTTCCATATTTGAAAAGTGCATCAATTAATGAGTTTTTTGCCACCAATCGTACCTCGATAGTTCAAACCGTTGCTGAGATATTCAATTTTTAGTGTAAGACCATTTTTCTTCAAAAGACGATGCTAATGTCACCCGTGTTCACTAACAAGCGTGCCATTTTTGATT